AAACATGTTTTTGTGAATCTAGAACAAAATAATTATTATAGTTTCTGGCTTAATTGTAAATATTTTTTCATATTTGATGCGTATTTTTCTTTAAAGTTTCTTTCAGTTCTGAGGTCAGTATGTCATACTGTTTTCCTACAAAAAAGTTGCCTATAAGACAAGATAGCAGTCCATCAAGAGGTGGAATTTTGAGTGCAACATAGGCTTCATCATAGAGTTCAACTTCTGGGAATAAGCTTTACTTTCTAGCTCTGCCACTCACCATAGCAATAAACTTTTTTTAGGTGTGAATGTCATGAATGTTATGGGTTATGCTGTGCAATTTTTTTTCAAGAAATGTGTTTTAATTTATCATTAACGGATTTTCAAGGCCTATTATACTCTTCGAGCTTTTCCTTTAAATCTAGTTTGCACTGTTCGTTTCATTTTGACAAACAGAACAAGTCAAAAAGGAAAAAAGACATGACCACAAAACTTACCTAAAAGTAACCTTTATAAAGCACATGCTTTTTAATCAGCTGGTGCATCAGCATGTGTGCACCTCAGAAAATCAGAGACTAAGACACTCAAAAGGACACTCCTACTGCTACTTGTTATTTCACCATAATAAAAATACTTTAAGAGGTTCAAGAAAAAATTGTGAGGGAGAAGTAGTCTATCAAACTTGAATTGCATTATGATCCAGCACATAAATATCTTTAATGGAAAAATAAATGGATTTGGGCTAATAAAAGCCTTGTTGTACTCTCCTCTATAACATCTCCCCATGACTTAACCATCTGTACACCAAAATATGACTAAAAATACTCAAATGTGTTGTGCCAAGAGACTTACAAATTTGCAACAGCTGACTACATCAGCACTATGTTGAGTACACCCTTGGGACACTGTTTAGCTGTGCACAAGCATTCATATCTTAGTATTTCTCCCTTCAACTGTATTGGCATCATGCTGACTTAACCAAAGAGTAAGCATATTTTCACTAAACATTTACTTGAGCTATAACAAAACCCAACAAGATATCAGGATAGTTGGAAGAGAATTTAGGATCATCTTTGCCCAGTAGAGATGCTTCCACACATCCACTCAGCTCAAAATATGCACACTCAAGCTTTTCTCTTTCATCTCACCATTTTTTTCATTGAATAAGTTGTGTGCTCTTAAGAAGATAATTTGAAGATGACTGTGCAAGATGGGCTACAAAACCCACATGTTTTACCTAAAATTTAAAACTTGAGGTTTTATGTAAATTTTAATTCAATTTGTAATATATCATTTCATATCCAGGCTCTCCAGCCTTGGGAGTGTGGCATAAGATATCAAACATAGTTTGCATTGGAATGTGTAGATGGAAATTTGGATCATTTTATTCTGCCTAAGACTATGTGCCTCTGTCACAAGGGACCTTACAGTTCTCATTGGATCCAATCTAAAAGGTCCTCTCATGTGTTTTCTCTCTGTGAATTACTGTTGTTAGGAAACTTTTACTTTAATTTTGCAGACATAGATAAATTAATAGAATAGCTATGATATGACAAAGCAGTATCTTGTTTATTAGTGACTTAACTGTGGTCTGTGACTTCAGAATATTTGTAATAGCTCAGCTCTTTAAATGTTCAAATAAATACATTAAAGAAATCCAGTGACTACAGTAATGGCTATAGTTCATGAACCATGGGCCAAATACTAAATGCTTTAATGTTAAGAAGTTTTTGACAGGTAATGCATTAGTTAAGCTGCAGTGACTCTGCTCACCCCATCTCAATTTGCTCTGAAATCCTTTTCCAACACCACTGTTAGAGATCATAATAATTAGCTGGAGGATAATTAAGGACTGCTAATAATATAAACTCTGGCAATTTTTGACAAATCCAGATATCTTCACAATGTAGGGTTTGGTCACCAAGTACTTCTGAATAGTACACACTTCCAAATGCTCTCTTATTTCACATGTCAAGGTAAGTGAGTAAATATTGGTGCAAGATGGGTTTGAAGCTTTTTTTGTCAACACAAGTAGTGTAACCTTTATTAACAGCATCAGAAAGAAACCAAAAATACTTATGGTTTATGTAACTAGGCAGGGTCTTGTTAATATGCTAGGAACTGTGGTAAATGTAATATGCAGCATTGTAATGTAATGAGAAACTAGGAGTGTTGAGTATAAGTCTCCAAATACATTAAAATAAGCAAAAATCTTCTTGAATAACACCTCTGACAAAAAGTAAGTATTAAAGAGGTGTTCTCGGTATTCACTGGTTCTGATAAAAAAATTACCCACCTTATAGAAAGACCAAGTATAGACTGTGGAGACTGGATAACAAAATTCTATGTAGGCAACCTTTCCTCAAGCTCTTCCAGGGCATGTATAACACCCAAATGTCAGGAATGTTTTTGTTACTTAAGAAGCCATGATGCAGCTCTGGTTTGTAATCAGACCTCAAGAATTATTTTTAGTCATGTCGTCATTGATTTTAATAAATTCTGTATGTATTAATCAAATGCATGTAACCTCATGTATGTAATGATTATGGGTTAATTCTTGAAATAATGCATACTAACTTAAAAAATATACTAGTAATGATGTTTTGGGCTAATTTTTACTTCCATATTACATAAATAGACCCCTATGTGTTATGTTTGAACTGATACGCGAGTTGAAAACTGTAATTTTAAAGCAGCTGGGGCAGAGACAAAGATTTAACAAGCTGTTTATGAAGAGGATGGTATCTTACATGTATCCATGTTTTCTACTTTGCTGTTTCATGGCTTCTAGTCTTGCAGTAAGACAGTTGAAATGCTCAAACAAGTAAGGTATTTTTATCCAAGACGGTTCTGGAAGATGCCACTTCCAAAAATGTAGTTTTTTACTTTGAGAACTTGGGGATGAGAAAATGTTTTGCTTCTTCATACTTGAACCATGATTAAGAACTTTTGGCTTCCCTAGACACTTAACAGTATTAAGTACTGTTGAAATAGTGAAATTGTAAATGTATTTGAGGCTTCTTAAATGTTATTTCATTGGATGTGTTATAGAACAGGATTGTCACAGAATAGCAGGCTTCATTCTTGGGCAATAGTCCTAGAAGATGTAAATCCGGGAGGGAATTTCACACAGATAAGTGAAATTCCTGTCACATAAATAACTTGCTCAACACCACAAGCAAGAAAATGTATTTACAACAAATGGGTCAGTTGCTGCATCAAACCAGCAGTTAATCTGAAACTGGCAGTGGAGCACATGAATTACTGTAGCTGTGAGGAATGAATATGCACATGGCTCGTATGTTTCTTTCACATTTGCACTAGTAAGAAGTCTGTGTTTTCTTAGGGTATGTTTAAGGAGCTTTTCCAGATATGCAAATAAATGATCCAGAAATATAATGTGTAAAATTGATGATTGATTACTTTGTTAGGACATAAAATTAAAAGCATAATTTTCTATGTATAGGAAGGTATCTTCTAAGATTCCTGGATGAGCATGATAAAGTTCTGTAGTAACTGTTTCCCAGTAAGGGTTTATCAACCATGTCATGTAGCTGCTATTGCCATACTTGTTAACTGCTATGTTTTTGAATGTAGAGTGAAGTTCATTGAAAATTTCAATTGCCAATGTTCTAATAATTCAGATTTCATGGCAAAATTCCTGCTGTTGGCATGTGTTGGTTACTCAGAGTAAGCACGACTTTAGGCTGTTTAAGGTAATGAATGAAGGCCTGCAAATAAGCTTGGTTTTGGCACTGATTGGCATTCATTGCTGAAATAAATGGGTCATGGTTAAACACAACAGTAAGATAGGGGTGTTTTTGTTCGTATATATTTAGACAAGTATATAGAAACTTGAGTGTTAAGCTAGTTTTCTAGGTTAAAGAAGAAAATTGTTAAGGTTGGAAGGGACCTTAAAGATCCTCAAGTTCCAAGCCCCTGCCATGAGCAGGGAACCCCATCACTACATCAGGTGGCACAAAACCTCATCCAACCTGCCCTTAAAAACCTCCAGGGATGGGGCATCAACAACCTCCCTGGGCAACCCATTCCAGTTCCTCACCACCCTTAGAGTGAAGAACTTCTTCCTTTTGCCATAACCTAAATCTCCCTCTCTGTTTAAAACCATAATGCCTTGTCCTATCACTATCTTCTCTGATGAAAAGCCCCTCCCCAGCTTTTTTGTAGGCCCCTTTCAAGTACTAGAAGGTGCTATAAGGTGTCCCCAGAGCCTTCTCTTCTCTAGGTTGACCAGACCCAACTCTCTCAGCCTGTCTTCATAGCAGAGGTGCTCCAGGCCTTAGATCATCTTGGTGGCCCTATGAGGACATACAGGTTTTTTTGCAGAACACTGGTGTCGTGAGGAGATGTGTTGTGTGACTGCTTTTTGGTTTGCTTATTAAAGGTAATTCTGTATAATAGACCTTGTATGTAGACATCAAGTTTGCTCTTGTGTTCAGAAGCAGCAATACATAGTAATCTAGTATGTCTTGAAACTGAGGAATAAACTTTGTCATGACTTGTGACTGATTCCAAGTGTCATAAGGCTAAGAGTTAAAGGGAGTAGGAATGTAATTTGGTTTAATTCCTTGCTGATATTCACACCATGGTGCATGCTAGTCTTCTGCTAGCCTGTAAATCAAGGTGTATCAGCTTGCTCTGACTTGCATACAAGGTCAGTAAGGGCCAGCAAAAATGCCAGTGGCCAAGGTGTCAGTGACTCAGTAGGTGCACTTCCCTTCTGAGTCAGCAGTGAACCAGAGGTTCTGCAGAGAGGTGGGAGGCATAGTACTTCTGTTTGTACCCTATTTTAGGCAGAAAGTGAAACTCTAGTCTCAGCCTTCTGCAGTCATTAAAGGTTCTATGGTGTGATTCACAAAAGGTGTGTTTGGTCTGAGGTTGTGGTGAGATCACAGCACCAGGTAAAATAAATGAGTATTTGTTTATCTCAGATGTTATGGACATGTCATAATTCCTCAATCATTGCCAGTTTAATTTTCATGGCCAGTAGAGAGTACCTGCTGCAGCTTTTGAAGTGGCATGCCCAGTAGCCTCTTCTCCACCTCCCATCTCTTTTCTTACATAATGGAAATTAGGAGACTCAATTACAAAAGGTGACATGGCGACTCGTGCAAAATAAATGGGGTTCCAACAGGTATGGTAGCCTGAACCTCTGAGATCCCCTAACTGTTGTGTGTGTATTGGGAGGGATCAGAGTAGGCAAAACATTGAGTTTGTAGTCTTAATGGATGACTTGTTAAAGTTGCTATTCAGATGGAGGAGTAGATGTAGAGTCCACCATGCTTCCTGTACATAGTTTAGTACCATTTTTTCGTGTATATCTGGAAAACGAAACGGGACAGAAGAGTGTAACTTCTACAAATAAACTGAAATTGCTAGAATACTTTGCACACTTACAGATGGTTGTATACATATGGCATTTGATTAGTAAACATGGATTTTAGAACTGGCATGCAAAACAGGAGAACATTACTATGGTTTTCATGAGCTGAGAGGAATTACGGTTCAGATGCAAATGATGCAGACAGAATTAGGTGTGTGGACTGAACTGTCATATGGAAATCCATTAATGCTTGGATCTTTAGCCATACTAGTTGCCAAACTAAATTTGTCTGCAGTGCAACTGAACCTGAATCTCAAGTCTTACCCTAGGTAGATATCCTTGACACCTGGGTTGGTTTCTGCCTCTCCTGTGAAATAAGCTGACAATCTCCACAAGATGGTCAGACAGCAGTTTATTGAGAAATTGTTTTTGCTATTGGAACTGTGGTGTAGCACTGTGTCAAGTTGAATTTTACTTGAATCTTAACTCTTAATCCACTCATATTCCCTCAAAGCTATCCATGGCCTATTTCTGTGTGTTTTCCAGCACTTCCTGTACTGATAACTGTACTGGGATCCGTAGATAGTGATCACATCAGCTGGAATCATGATGGGATGTTGAGGGCTGTTATTTCAGCAAGAAAATGAAATGTGAGTGCATGATTATACAAAATGAAAATTTTCCCTCAGTTCTCAGAAGTAAAATATTTGGACTAAGAATTGTAGTGGATTTGTTGCAAGAATCCATGGGGTTTTCAGTCTTACCTGTTATTTGTTTCCTGAAAAAAATTGAATCAAGGTTTTTCAAGGAATGGTAACAGATCAGACAGTTGTTAAGTGCCAATCTAATTTCTTTGCTTTTTGCAAGCATGTGTAGAAGATGTTTGGGTTTGATATACACTCGAAATAGCAGTGTGAGGTGTTAACAATATTTCACTCTTCTGTTAGTCTCAGTGAAGTGTGTGTTCTGAAAGTCACTGCAGTAAGATCCAAGTACTGTGATGGGTTTAGCAGCTGATGATTTACTTTGTCAGGTATCACTGTACTGTGATTCTGTACATGTGAGTAGTAATTTTTTACTTTTTACCTTTTTTTCCTAAGGTCTAAGTAGCTGGTTATATTTAAAGTATGAGATATTTGAAGTCAAACATGTCTAAAAAACCCAATGCAAATAGACCATAATGAGAAATTTCTTCTACTGTCATGAGACAACTCTTTTTTTTTTTTTCTTTTTTTAGAGTTATAAGGTTGTTTTGGTATAAAAAGGTATGCTTTTCATGTTGTAGAATATGGACTACATGTAGCTTTTAATTTATTGACTGTCAGTTTAATTACTTACGCACAGCTATAGGCTTCTATTCAGTCTGGTTATGGTTTTTGAGGTGAATAAATTAAGTCTAAAGGCAGAGAGATTAATGAGGAAGCATTCACAGAATGCTGAAATGTTACCTAATGTGAAGTAAACAAGTGCAGGCCCTATGATTTATCCACTTGGTATTTTTAAGTAAGCTTGAAAGTAAAATTAAAAAAAAATGAAGCATGCTGATGGGGCACTGAGTTTATCTCTTGAATACCAGACAATATAAAAAAGTGGGCTTTTTGGCTCTGTTTGTTGAGGTAAATGTCTGTCATAAACTGGTGAAGCAGAACTGCATTGATTAGAATAAACTGCTTGGTTTATGTAACAGTCTGGAAGATAGTATAAGTAATTAAGGTAATTCTTTGTTTAACTCTGATACATCTAAATAGACTTACTTGATGTTAATGGTATGATAAAAAAGTTAAAGGGTTAGAGAACTGACTGGAAGAAAACCTCTTGGTATATGTGTGAAATAAGGAGAGGTGTAAAGAAGGCAGCTCTTGGGAACAGAACTATTCCTGTTACCTTGTATATGCCTGTTGAAGCACTGACTGCTCTTAAGGAGGCAGCTCAAGCAAACAATGTCTTGCATGACATAGAATTTGTGTCCATTTTTGTTTGTGTTCTGAAATTCTTTTTAAAGGAAAAAATTCTGAGCAGAAGACACTTGGACTCTTCTGTGCAAACTTGTTAGTAAAACAAGTGTATCCAAATGAAGCTTTTGACTTGAAGACCTTCTCAGAAGGTTACTTCATGGAAATGTTGAGGTGTTCAGTGCTGTGATTTTTCTTCTATTTGGACACCAATTTAAAAAAGGGGGGGGGAGTAAGATGGCAGTCATATTCATGAACTGGGTTAAAAAGTAAATCAAATTGATAAGTCAGATGGATAGCTGTTCTGAGTAACCTGAAATTGCAGTCTAAGACTTTGGGGAGGAGATGTAACCTTTTGGAAGATGAATATACTTCCTAACTGATGCCTTACATCTGTTAAACATAACCAGCCAATACGTTAGGAACACAAAGAAACTTGGAAAACACTCTGACAGCAAGAGGAAAGAAAAGGTTATGTGGATATTTGATATTTTAGAATTGCTGTTGAAATGAAGGTGCTATTTTGTTAGTGAGAGACATGACTGAAATTTAAAAGTGGATTTCTTGAGAGCCATTAGGGTAATTTCCCTTGGTAAATTCTTAGGTCACAGTTCTGCAGTAACCCATTTCTCTAATGCTTAAACTAGTTAGGGATTAGTCTACATAAGGGGCAGCAATTTGGTGGTATCAAAGAAAGATAATTGCATAGGGAAAGGGAGTCTCAGCCCACTGGAAGCTAATTTTTCTTAAATGTTATTGTCTGTATATATATGTTAATCTATAGTAATAGCTGCAAACATTATTTAGTCTGAATACTATTGATATCATTTATTGTCTGGTGCTCTGTCTAATTTTTTGGGGTACAAGTAGAAATAACTGTCTTAATACTGAATTATTGCTAGGCAATTCATCAGCATTTCCTGGTTCAGACAATTGCCTCCTGGAATGTGAGATGATTGACCTCCATCAGCCAATACATAGTGATGTTAATTGCCTCATAATATTGTCAAGAATACAACAGCTAATGTTGGAAGGGTCTGATTGCATTTCTGTGAGCTAAGCAACATATATTAGTGTTCTACCTCTGTTCTCAGTCTACATCTTTATCTTAGCAATGTCATGAGGTGGATTGAGGACACACCATCAGGGTGCAATTAGAAGCAGGTTTGTCACAATGAATAGTAATTTCAGACCTGAAGTGTGAACAGAACAAGTCCCCACAGGACAAGTCACATGAACTCCTGGGTACTGACTGATGGGACAGGAGAGATGCTCTTCAGAGTGAAATGATTTTTGAACACCAAGACTAAAATGTATCTATAGTGCTTTGCATGCTTAAAAGGTTCAAATGAAATCCTTTCATTCATTTCACTCAGCATTGTTTTTGAGCAATGGGAACATTTATAATTTTGTATTACATCAGATGATTTACTCTATTTTAGGAAATTATTCAGATTTGTTAGATGTTTCTATTCTAGACCCAAGACATGTTGAAATTTGTTATTTTGATAGGTGTATTCATGTTCACTGACAGAAAAATGTGATCCTGTTTCTTGAATTAATAAAACCATAGTAACTGCATGTTTTAGTCGTTATGTGGGTGCATCCCTGTCCCCATGGGAAGATGCTTTAGAAGGTACAGTAAGGTGGAATATATGTTAAAATGAATAGAACAATTTCTCTTAAAAGAAAAAGCAGCATAATAAAAAGAAACAATTGAGGGAAAGGAGAAGAAAAAATGAGAAGCCTTGATTTGAACACATTGCGGGGTGGAGCATAAAGAGAGGTGAGAGAGCTGTGAGATAAGAATAGGGAAGAGGCAATAGCAATATTGATCAGACCAGATATTTAGTACTGCAGTATAGACGGATAGAAGTGTAGGATGGTAAGAGAAATATGCTAGAAAGGAAAATATTTTAAGGTTTATGTAACTTGATCACTTGATGGTTCAAGCAAATGATCTGTCAAGGCCTTGTGGGAGCTGTTTCAAGTGAAGGGAGCATATGAGCCATAAATACAAAGGAGATCCTTGATTTATTCCAAATACAGTAGAGAATTGACATGCTCATCATGATGTCTGGATTTGTACCTAAAGAGGATCTCTATGGAAGGAGATTGAATGTGGCCATGCTGAATGAATCATGTCAAAGGCTTCTAAAATCTGGGGGGCTGGTGTCTGCATGGCCTTCCTCCTCCTTGTGTTTTGAGGTAGTGTTGCAGAAGCCTTCATTAGAGGGAGAGATGTACTAGATACAAGTATCAAGTTCATTGCAACTCCCTGTTTTTTGGCAAAACAAGGAAGAGCTGTTGAAAATGGCCTCAATTCACAAATACATATTTGCCAGGTCATCTCTATCCATCCTTGAGGTAGAGGAGTGAATCACACTTTGGTCCTTTTCAAGGTCGGTAACATAGTGTATCTTCCCTTCAGATCTTTATTACCTCTACTGGGAAATAGTGAGCTGGTAGAGAAAAGAGCTGTCAAGATTTGTTAAATTTTGATGCGCAAAAAAAGTGATGTGCATGTAAAATAAGAGTTTCATGTGAGTTATGTCAACTTAGCAGTATGCAGTTATATAGTTTTTATCCCTCTGCTAAGTGTTGTCATGCCACAAGACTGTCACTATTGATGCAACACTTGTGAGGTACCATTAGTAAAAACTATGAGCAATACCAGCTATTTGGGATACCTATGTTCTTCCATTGCACAGCAAGATCTTCTAGAAAACTCCTTGATTGTTATCTGAAAGACAAGGCTGAATTTTGCTACTGGATCTTCTAAAGTTGGAATTAACATGTAGTCTGGAGAATAGCTTCTCTTACAA